CTGATTTGTTCCACTTGATTCCTTATTGGTGTTTTCTTTATCCTTCGTCTCTTGTTTCTTCTTTTCTTGTACTACAGCCTCAGTCTTGTCCTCAGAGCTTCTTCTAGAAGATGTTCGGGACGAGGGTCTCCTTTTTGTCTGTACAGTTTGAGTTCCTTGTTGAGCTGTATTTTTATCTTTAGTGTCATCACTTTTAACTTCATGGTTACTGGAGCCGGGTGGTTCAGGTAATACAGTTTCAGGAGATGGCGTATGACTCCGAGCTACCGGCATGGGTTGTACTAGAGGTGGTGTTGGTATCCGTGGCGGCATCATAGGCCCTGGTGGTATCATACCTGGATGTGGCTGCATAGAACCTGGCATCTGTGTGTGTCGACCTCCAGGTGCATAGCCACCGTACGGTCCACCAAATGGACCATAGTTCATTGTGTGAGGAGCATATGGCATAGGAGGGTGAAAAGGAGAATATCCACCAGGATGCCTTGAACTACCAGACTGGTAAAAACAAAGTGTCAACAACAAAAAGACAATTTGTAAATTGGCTGCCTGTACATTTTAATTATAAAAACACTTCTCCAGTTCTTCTTATATTTGCTAATCCAGATTGTTCCAAAAAAGTGGGGGAGGACCAGGTGGCCATACTTGTGAATGACAGTACTTTTCAGCCAAAACTATGGCTTTTTTAAGTTCCACCAACTAGGTTGAAACAAGTCATATATTCACCTGTCCAATTCAAAGAATTAACTTGGCAGAATTCAAGCGGATCTTGTATGTGCAGAGGCATTCTTTGCCGACACACATCATTCAGAACAAAATAATATTTCTGCTCCAGGATGGATGACAAGTCAATTTTGCCAAAGCAAAATACACTATCTGTGACTATGGCTAGCCCGTCAGGTTAGTAATGAATATATACTATAGAAGTAAAATTCCGAGACAATTTTATGCCTTCTGGGCCACTAGCAACTATTTCACTTTCAGAATACGGTGTCATCATCACACATTTAGAAGTTTTGGCTGTCATGACTCGAAATAAAATACGGTTACGTTTATCTTATATGGGTTTTATCGAGCATACAACATTCATTGTAGTTCACACATACATACAATAAAGGTTGCTACAGCAGTGTCTTGCATTAAGAAATAATAATTTAAACAAGATTTAATGTCAGCTGACTCGTTGTCTTCCAAACGGAAATTGTGCGAATCGAATAATAAACAATGTTGTATTAAGCTTATACAACGCAAACTCTAGTACAACAGTTCCATAAAGGAATACGGTATACCTGCACAATGGCTGGGTCCGGATGTAGCTGCGACGGCTGAGGTTCCTGTTGCTTTGGCTTAGGAGGTTCGCAAACATGCAAGTCCTTTATGTCGTGCCCCCGAAAAACAATGTACTCGTACACTTCCTCTCTCGGAGGAACCTTTTTCGGAGCTTCCCGGTCTTCCGTCCCAAATGATCTGACTGCAAAGAAGGATGGTGAGACCACAGTTAGAAATAGATTCTGCGAATCACCTTGCTCATTTACAAAAAATATATCGCCGAAAATGACTAACCGTCCGCCAACGTCACAACAGCTTCCTTGGTGTCTATGGAGTACAAGACACCCTCGTACCTAATTTCTGACTTAGAAATTAGGCTTATTTTGGTACCAATGTACGGAGTTCCTGAAGTCATTTTGAGTTGTCAGAAATATAACAGAAAACTATAAAGGATGGCCCAGGATGGCCAGGATTGATTTCACTGAGTCTTCGACTGTCAGCAAAGCAAAGATGGCCGAATGGCGAGCGAGTGTGTTTTTCTCAAAGAAGTGTGGGAAGAGTGACGTCATCAAAACTGTCGATTATATTGGTGATGGTAGTATACAAATACATCGCTGTTTGCTAAACAAGCTGCTGGCCAGGATCGCTGTGACTCGCGCGGGCGAAAACAAAATGGCGCAGACCATCGACGCGAAACTATTGCATAAAACTACTGTGTCTTGGTTCGACTTCTTGTTTGATACAACTGGAGATTCATTGAAGAAACATCTGGAAGATGTATCTGCAGGTTAATATTATGTTTAGTATTTTTTTTTAACATTGCTACTATAGCGGAAAATCTATCAGCCACCACTGCCAATCGACCTGTCAAAAGGACATTCCATTTTTTATACCGGGCCCCGCCTCTGTACGGAATGGGAGACAGATTCCGACACCCTAGTATTATTCTTGTCCGCACCTTTAAAGTTTGCATCCGCAGGGTACTACATTTTGTCAGTGTCTTTGAAAATAAATATTCCGACAGGCCCTGTGCCAGAGGTTACCCCTTCATACGGGGTGGGGGTATAAAAAATTTAATGCCATGATATGTTTCTTGGAAATTAGGGCAGCCTTTTGTAGGTCATAAATAAAGTGATATGTGCTTGTTATACTTGCAGAACCTTCAGCCACCCAACTTAATGTTCAGTTCCTGGAACATTCAGGGTTATTCAACATCAATGTGGTAAGCACTTTGACTAGTCACTGCTCTGGGTCATCCTTGATATTATCACTGTCTTCAGTGTTATAATCATGAACTGCAGATAAAGTTGGTCAACTTGCATTAAAAGATAAATTTTTCAGTAGCAAAGATCAGATCATGTATACTAAATGCATACACCGTCGAGTGTTGATTGATACCTTTGATTGACACCCTCGATTGACCCTCACTGACCCTTGATCTACACTTGATCAGTACTTGATGAACATATCAGTTGACACTCGAATGACACTCGATCAACATCTCAGTCGGACGTTGGTTGAGAGTCGACTAATTTTTCACAGACACCTTATTGAGTATTGATCAATACATATGAGTTGGTCAACACTCCGCCATATATATCGACTGATACTCGATCGAGTGTCAATCAGGTGTTGGTCAAGTGTCAAGCTAATGTCAACCGAGCATCAATAGAGATGCTGATCAAGTGGTGATCAAGTGGTGATCAAGATATCAATCAAGTATTGATCAAAGGTCAATCAAGGGTATTGATTGACACTGATACAGATGCCTTTAGTACACACGATCCCATGTCCTCAAATATGAAAAAAAAAAGAAGTTGTTTTGTGAAGTTCAGACATACTATAAATTATGAATATTTAAGAAACTAAATTTGTTGGGTATTTGTTGCATATTGTCATGGTCCAGTTAATCAAGTCTACTAAACAAATACAAGCCCCAGGTTCATGATAAGACTTATTTACTGTACTTTAATGTTACCATGTTAGAGAAAACTGTTTCCAAAATTTTAACATATTCAGCCCTGCCAATCAAAATTCACTTTATACGGTTGTTTTTTTTTTCCATTCCTGATTCTAAACAAGTAAAGGAATTCTTTGTTCATGACCCTGCTTTTCGGTTTGCACTGGTTGCTTACCATCCTGTATCCATCCCAAACTGTATTGTAAAGTACATGTGTATATGAAATGTAGTTTCAGACAGATACATGTATGAGATTGCGGACTAGAAAATGATATAGGGTAAACCAAATCAGGCATGAAATTTTGCTGCAAAACATTTTCTGTTGCAAATTGTTTCCCATCATCACTGAATACAGANAGATATTATGAAACACTGTCACAGTAGTTGTTTATTTGTTTTTAAGTACTGTAAGGAAAATAATTTTTGATAAAAAAATGTGTTGTTTGGGTCAGATTGTGTGCCTCTTCCAAGTTATCCTGATTAGTGTTGATTTTCGATGTGTTGTTGTTTTTAGACAATTAACAGTGATACAGATATAAGCAGTCTAGACCAAAAAACTGCGATGACACTTATAATTTACTACAGATGGTAGGAAATGTTTGTCATTAGCTGTAAGCACTAAGCTTGGTCTCTCCTCAGTAGAGGTTCGAAACCTTCACTATAGAAAGCCGCTGAGCGAGGTGAGTGCAGGCGCATAGTCGAAACCCTTTGCCTGTGCTCATGTCACTCAGTGGATTCTCCCTACTTGAAGAAACCCTTTGAGCCTTGCCTTACCCTGTTTATGACCAAAATCTGCGATTTTCCTTACCTTATTTATATTTGATACCCTATATATGACCTGACCCTTAAATTAACACCCTGTTTCAGACCTGTTATATGATAATAAATTTATTAGTTTCTTAGTTCAGACCAATGTGAAATTGCCGTAAACATAATTTGTGAAGGGCTTTCATTGATGGTCTTATTGATAATGATGAAAAAGTAGCTTCCTCTTAAAAACATTACTCAATTCAAGACTAGAGTGCAAAATCCATGCCCTATTGCTGACCAAACTGGCCAAAATTGATACCCTATTTATGACCAAAATGGCTGAAAACCTGTACCCTTTGGGGCCGCACATACTTATATACCCCATATAAGGGAGNTTTTTTTTTTTATTGTTTTATATCAGCTTGAAGACCAACTTTCTACTGCCATCCACATTCTTAATCAAGCTCTTCAGGTGACAGAGGACATGGTTCTTCCTACAGCTCCTTCATTGTTATCCGATCCTAAAAAGACTGATAAAACAGAGCCAGAAAAGGCTTCAAGTGAGGTTGGACCAACAAGTGAAGAGGGTGCACAGAGCGTGGATGTTGACATCACAGATGATGACAAAGCTAAGAGTGAAGGTGATGCAAAGAATGGATCTGATGACTGTAATGGCTCCAATGCAGTTGAAAAAATGGATACAACTACTGAAGAGATTTTTACTGTGAAGAAGGAGGACATCATTGCTCAGGTATGTGCATTCCTGGGGTAGGTAACTTCTTCTTAAAAACATACTCAATTCAAGACTAGAACAACCATACCCTGTTTATGACCAAAAAGGCTGGAAAAGAGGATACCATTTGGGGCTGCACATACCTACATAGCCCATATAAGGGAGTACAACCCTCCACACACCCCCCCCTCCCACTCCCACCAGGTGTATCCATGGAGGAATTACATACATTGGGAGCCTTCCTTTAAGATGTTTAAATGTTGATAGGTTGGTGGTTCTTAGCAGAAAGGGGTAACAATGCCATCAATCATCTTATATGATTTTTTTAGCAATATAATTTCCTTTCTCTTTACAGTTTTGTCAAGTTATAAAAATCACTGCACACAAAACATGCAAAGAACTGTCCCTTTGCATGCATTACATGCTCATAAAATGGCATTGTTTAATCAGTAATACTATGATCTCTTTTTTCCTCTTTTATGTGGGAAAGTGATTAATTTCCTGCTACTTTTACTTCTGTTTCAGGTTTCCTTTGATTTAGGAACTCTCTACTTCTACCAAGAAAAGTTTCAACAAGCTATGAAATTGTTCGAAAGTTGCAAGAATGCACAGGTTTGTCATAAACATCTGTTGCCAACTGATCAATGATTAAGCCTGATCTTGATTATTTATTCTAAGGTACACTGTAGCTACTCCCCAGTATCACCTGATTTGCACTTCTCCAGGGAGTGCTCCCCCTGGTCGCGCATTTTACTGTAGGCACCAAGCCCGTCCAGACCTTGAAAATCATTTGATTTAATCACTGTACATGAACCAAGATCTTCAACAATTTTTCCATGAGCATACTTTGGATATGACATGATAATTAGCCAATGAGACCCTAGGATGTGTCTTTGGCTATAATTCATCTCATACATGTAACTAACAAGCATGAGTGGAAGAATGTTTTTATTAAAAATAACCGCAATATTGATAATTCCAACTATTAAGTAAGTAACATTCTGTAGAAAAGAAGAGTCAAAACCCAGGAAAAACATTATCCAATGTTCCAGGTTTTAAATATGCAGTTATAAAACATGTTGTGACATGTTCTTACAACTTAGTGTAGTAGTCAGAATCAGGTAGCTCCAGTATTTGCTCACATTCATGTTATCATGCTGTGCCAGGATACCACAGTGCATTTTGTTGGTGTGAAACTAGTCAGAATTTTCACAGATTCCAAAGAACATTTGGAAAATGACTGTGGTGCAACAGTAATACATCAAATTTTGGCACGTCTTTGGCACCACTGCTGTACAACTACAGCAACAGTATGACTGTTTAAAAACCACAGAATGGCACAATTTTGTTATTGGGCCCTTTTGCTTTTAATTTATAATGTGTGTCCACTGAGGGTTTATTATTAAAACATACTAACATGTAGGTTATTCATATTTATTGAATATTATTTTGTTAGTCTGGAGGTGAAACGTAGGCCACAGGGATTGTAGCATGGTGCTTTACGCATGATTTATGCACATCATGACATGCACCAGTAAAAATTTACATGCAGATTTATGCGCAGGCCAATTGCACATGAATTTGGTTTATTCTGTTGAACAATGAAACCTTATGTGATTCATAGATGGGAATTAAGTTTATGTATTTTGTATTAGTTTTGTGTTTCTACTTTTTAAGCCACTTTGAAATACAGAAAATGCACTGGAGCAACATTTTCATTGCATTTTTTCAGTTGTGTCACATTGTAATGAACCTTTTCCTTTCCATTCTAGTGCTGTCAGTCATCATTTTACACTGTCAATGAACAGAGGTTGAGTGGTTACTATATGGCATGCTGTGGCCTGACAGGCATTCCCCCTGTTCTAACAAGTGCGCCACCGCTTGCAGCAACTAAACCATCCCTAGCTGTGAGATTTGAACAGTCCCGACACTCTGGATATAATGTAAATATGAAATAATTAATAATAGTTTCAAAAGAAACAACCCCCAAATGTGCATGTAGGCACCCTCCAAAAGTACAATTAACACAGCACTCAAAAGTAGTGATCTCAAATGAAGATGTATTTGGCTTGTGGGTTCCTGCTGGTAACGGCCTAGTGCTGAAAGGGCTGCCTTATTGTAATAAAAAAAACTGGCTTTGATAAACAATGGCAGGAACATATAAATTATGAGCTGTCCCAAAATGACATGGTATTTGTTTTTAATGAACCTTAGTAGAGAGACAATTATTATATTACCCTGTTTGTTTTGGCATAAATTTCTGTCGAGAAGATTTAACATCCACTGAGAACATTTGGAGCTACCCAGAAGAATCAACTCACCCCTCCCCCCNATGATCTTATTTTGTCATTTGAATGTAATTGTTTCAAGCACCACTCAGGATAACTATTATTGTTGTAGTCAGAGATTGTCATCCCTATAGCAGCACTTTGTTCTAACAAAGTTCCTATGGTATCAACATGTTCTCTCTTTACCCAAAATTGTTAGTTAAATTTCCACTAAATTACAAATGGATGCCTAAGAAGAAACACTTCATTACTCTAATTTTTAATTTCCAAAATACAGAAATAGTGATTTACATGTATGTTTAGCATCTTTCTTTTGTTACTATCACACAGGATATTATTGTGGTACTTTTAGAGGACAACATCACATTTGAGCTTCCTTTGGAATATAGAAAAAATTTAGTCTCAGAACTAAGAACACATAGTCGGAGAATGAGTGAAGATGAAGAAAGTGCTACCAACATTCCTTTAGACTGGCAAATAATGGTTTGCAATATAATCAGGGATGTTCTAGAAGGACGACCTGCAAATCCTGGATTTTGGCTCTCGCTGGAGAATTGTTCTCAAGCTCAACTAGAGATGATTTTCTCTGTAAGTATTTCTTTGACCCAAACAGCCAAGTAAATGTCATGGGCACAGCTGTATGCCAGGAGTTATCTCTTGAACCATGGTTTTGAAAACAATTACTGATGTGAGGAAAATGACATGATCTATGATTGGATTGTTTTCGGACTGAACCATTCACTGCAACGCAAATTATTTGATTTATCCATTTGTCTTCAGAAGTTAGAGACAGATCAGGAAAATTGGTTTGTGATTTTTATTTTGACGAAAATGCAACCTGGATCAATAAAAAGGTAGCTGGTTAAATACTGCCATCCTTTATTAGTGTCAGTAACGAATTTAGTAAAACAACGGTATCAAAAACATGCCTTTGAAATCATATACTAAGTGATCTTGTAACCATCATTTCCTGTCAGAGGTTACCACAGCCACAGTATGTATAACCTGTCAAAAAGACCCTCGCATTTTTTGCGTTACTTGCTTCACAGTTGAAAATTAGCCCAGTGAACCTCATATTGTGTCATATGATAATGACTAGCTTGTTAAGAGACAGCTTTCTATAAAATTTGAGAAAACAGTGCTAAGAGGTTCAGAGCCACTTTTTGAGTTTTGCAAATTTAACATGAAAGTACCCCTCTCCCCCGAGAAAAGGTATATTATAATTAATATACCTTTTCATCTGATCATGCAGATAATTAATGAAAGTGAACTGAACAAAAATGAACTGTTATGATTGTGTCTTATCTAGCTGTGTTTGCAGTCCATACCAGTTGAAGAGGACTTCCCTTCTCAGGGTATAAAGGAGAGCAACAGATTCAAAGTCATGAAGTCATTTGTCCAGTAAGTACACAGTCATTTTGTGTGGAGGTGCCCTATCCTCATGTTTACTGACTAGACTCTGGATCGAGCAGTCTGGGCTGGGTTCAATCCCTGGCTGGGGTCATTGTGTTGTGTTCTTGGGAAAGACACTGTTCTCTCACAGCTTGCCTCTCTCCACCCTGTGGCAAATTTAATGCTGAGGGGTAACCCTGTGATGGACTAGCATCCCATCCAGTGGGGGNAGGAGGAGGAGTGGACAGATGGAGGTTAAGGTGGAGTTGGTGCTTTTCACTGGACAGGTGTAATGTTTTGTGAATTCAAAACTATTAAAAGTGGGTATTGCCTGTATCTAAAGATAAGGGCCTGTCTGTAAGGGAAACTACCTCTAGTGGGGTAATCAATTCGAGGTTCATCAAGGTTTATAGATCTGACATGCTGTTTGTCAGTGCCTCTTAATTTCCTTCAATGGCAGTTAATTTTGTCCTTATAAACTGAAATGGTTACAAAACTGGATTACATATATGAGTTTCAGTTGCCCACTGATGCAACATCTACAGGGGCATTTGTCATCAGGAGAACTTTTTACAGGGGTGTTAACTACAGCAGGAACTATTTTCTACAGTAGGAACCTTTTAATAGGAAGCCTTTCTACATACAATAGGAACTATTGTCAGAGGGTCCATCAGCAGTGGGAACAATCCAAAGTTACGTCAAAAAATTGACCAATCATGTTTCTTTATTTAGGAGTATGAGAAGGCATCTCAGCTTCTCTCTTATGCCCTTGGGATGGTGAACACTGTTGCAGGAAGGGGTGCTGCAAGCAGTCCATTAGAGAGAGTGAAGGCTGCAATTCAACAAGAACTCCTTGTGCTAGACATTTCTCAGGAGTCACCTAGCAAGAGGTACAAGTATCTAAGAAATAATTGATAAAATACGAGTTCTTACCTGTTCAGTCTGTTTTTTTTTTTTTAGATGTGCAAAACACTCCTACCCGGAGAACAGCACATCACTTTAGCTACAGAGGGCAAAAGAGTGAAAAGGTCAAGCCCAGTTGTAAACTTTGAAAAACCCTACATGAGGCACAGTTCACTGCCAGAACTGCATGAATTGGACTGTTTAACCACAGCAAAAGCTTTTTTTTTTTGTTACAAGCTTTTTGACACCTCATGGGTTCCATATTTTGAGGCTGTTCATTTTCTTTTCTTTGCAGCCGGGCGGAAGAGATAGCAAAACGAGTCAAGTCTTACATTTGGCAAACTGCTCCAGGTACTGAGCAAGGTTCACATTACTCACTAATAGGCCATTTTTCCATATCTGGTTGGTTCTCATAATCTACAGTTCAGTCAATTTGTCAATAGCATGCCAAACATAAACAATGTTATTTGTTTCTAAAGAACTTTTGTCTGTCAGGTCAGCAGGTAATTGAAACACTTAGCTATATATCCAGTTGAAGTTGATATAGGTGCTTCTACCACCACAGGGAGTCTATAAGGCTGATTTTTTTAGGGTTACATGTAGATCTTCACCTGAACAAAGTACCCTGAGGAAGGGCTAATGCTTGAAACAATAGCTCAGTATCATACAGGCAGTTAATTTGCCTTTGTCAAAAAATAGCTAAGTGTTACATAAAACATAGTTGATTTGATGCACTGTATTCTACTAACATGTTGAATTGTTTCCAGGTGCTGCAGAGATTCATGTGGAAGAACAAGTCAATGCCTTTCTATTAAATGGAAAGGAGTGGGAGTTTCTGTCAGAAATAAGAGTTGATGAGAATGCACAGTCACTGGATCACAGATCTGTAAGATAATCTGCTGATTAGCATGTTGGAGTAGATGAACAATTCCTTATATAATATACTAAAAAGTGATAGGTGCATCATTTTCTTGCATCCAAACAGTGCAGAAGCAAATATGATAAATTACATTAACAACATGTTGCAAACCTTGCTTAAATTCAACTTGCCTTGCAATATTGTTGCATGAAGAGTTTTCGCATGTGAACCTAGTTATTATAATGGCCCAGCTCACCAAATATCTCTTAGTAGCTCAGTGGTTAGAGTCTCCAACCAGTATCTGGGAGGTCATGGAGTTGAATCCTTCCATTTTAAGATCTTTATAATCAAGTTGTTTGTATATTACCTGTCTTTTATTCCAGAGCATGTATATATCATTCTGTAATCCCTTTTGATCAATGAAGTCTTTTAACACAGTAGGACATGGCAGTATTTTCTTTATGGAGCTCGACTTATCCTTTTTAAATTTTTAGCTGTGTAGCTTACTGGCATCCACGTGCTACTTTCTGTCAAAACCTCAGGGATGGAGGAAGCCAGCCAGAAGTCTTTGGGATGGCAGTAAGTACATGAATTTTGTACAATGTACAGGATATTTTCATCGAGACATCTCGGAGTTACACCAAGTTTTGCATCCATTGAAATACCTTCTTATGAATCTCTTTATCAGTCCAGTAATGTATGTGCTTTAGTGTCAGAAAACTCAAATGGAAATTTGAGGAATGCACTGTCTTGCTTAGGTTTATGGTACAAATGTAAAGAACCCCAGGACTCGGGCGTTTTACATTATTTGTTGTTTTACACAGGATTGCTCTGGTCAAGATGTATTAATTTTTATGTTGAGATCCATTGTCCAGTTACCTAGTTTACATTAAAAAAAGTGTCATTGCATTTATTATATTCCAGTCATAATGGTGGATTGTTTGGAATCTGCATTTACTGTAACTTCATTTTGTTTTGTCTTGATTTGCCATTCCCAACTTTCCTTTTTATTTCAGTTCTGAAGATATTCAGTAATAACAACATGGGACAACAGAAGAGATCTGCTGATGGAAGTCAAGCAGGCATAGCTTCCCAATCTGAAGGACTGAAACTGTAAGATCTTTGTATGTTACACTCCTTATTAGCTGTAAATGCAATCAGTGCTTTGTTTTAACTTTTTTTAGATGCAGGGCTCTCTGCATACCAGCCTTCAAGCTGATTAGGCTTCAAGCCTTCAAGCATATTTTTTTTCTTTTGTTATATTTTTACAATCATTTTTTAAAGAAACCACTCAATAAAATTATATGATGCATAGCTGTTTCTTACTTAAGTTGGAATTGATTTGCTTATTTATAGAATTGCTTGTTATCTTGCAGGACAAACCTCATTCATTTTGTTCGAAGAGTAAAGGTAAATCTTTGTAATGCCCTCACTCTCCATTTCAGAAGTGGACCTAAAAAAAGTCAGTATCATCATCATTCAGTCATCTTTTCTTCTTGTAGGAAGAGACTGTACTCACTGTGTTGATATCATGTTTAGTACGACTGCGTAATGCCTCTGGCAAGGTAGGCATCAATAAAAAAGAATAATTATAATATTGTAATTATTGTGGACACAGCATAGTGTAGACATATAATATTGACCACTTTCCTTTGAAAATTGCGTTTGCTCAGAAATGATGAAAAGTCGCCAAATACATGGAAAACTTGACATAGAAAAAGCAATAAAACTTGGAGAAAGTGTGCTAGTGGCTGTCTAACATACTCCTCACTTGAAATGGTTATTATTAGTACAGCATTTAAACAGTTATCATTCAAGTTGTTTGTCCTTTAATTTGCTTTTGAGTCATAATGTGATCAGTTTCATCACTACTGTGTAGTGGGTTACTATCAAGTGCTGTCCTCATGTTTAATCTTGCAGTAATATTTTCTTTATTTCAAGGTTGATGAGGCAAATAGTCAAAGAGAAATATCAAGCTCACACAGTCATCTCTGGCCTACTGCAATCACAAAGTATGCTGCTGGATTTATTTAACAATAACTTGTTTTCTCTACCATCAAAATGTTGAGCAGCAAAAAGGAGTAGTTATTAAAAATCGCAAGCAAAAAGACTTAATTCTATAGTTCCCCTTTGTTAATGTGTCTCTACAGTAATTCACATGTTGTTACTTGCAAGTAATATAATTAACATCCATGGGAAAGTCACTCTTAGACACTGCAACATAGATCTCTGTTAAAGGGCAATGTCACCATGATTATGGAGTTTTTCAGGTCAAATCCCATATGCCTGTTGAGAGTGACAAAAAACTGTGAGCGCAAAAAGTTGGGTGCTGTTTACATTTACAATAATAATTATTTTTTAAAAAGGTTTCTATTGTATGGCACATTTGTTTGCTTTATGTATCACAGAGGTTTTAAGGTTGGTTTGTTTTAATTAATAGCCCTGGTAATGTAAATTTTGATCACATTGGCTTGGCACTGTCTGGTGTTGTCCACCATGCCCTCTCAGTACAGCATCAAAATGTTTCTTGGCTTCAAACTCTAGGAGATATTTATTTAGGTAAGTGATTTGCTAAACACTAATTACAATAACTTCATTCCTTCCAACATTGTGTTAATTCAGAATCAGGACCGTCCATTAAAAATAATTAGGTCTTTGAGTAATGCACACTGTCATATTTTGAAAACTGCCTTTTTCCATACTTCTGTGTCAAGATGTTGCAAATGCAGTTTCCTCTACTTTGTAGAAATTCATTTCATGTCACAAAATAACATGCATGTTGTGGGATACCTCAATAAGACAGTAGTTCTTAGTAAAGTTTTCAAGTTGTGGTCTTTCATTGGCTGGTCATGCAGTACTACATAGTATTTTGCATGACTTGTTATTTAGAGGTTAACAATCCCATGGAGATTGCCTCTGTAAATTCAGTAAACGTGGCTCATGAGCACAAAGAAGACATTGCAGCCACACTTACGCCCCTCTTGTTTTTTATATTCTCTAGATTCTGGTAATTATTCATCAGCGATGCGGTGCTACCTAGAAGCTGGTGCTATCTCATCGTTTTTCTTCAATTCACCAGTCCCATCAACTGTCTGGGATGATCAGGTAGATACTCTAAAACATGAATGTTGAATTGCATAGTCCAGAAGGTGATACAGTCAACAAAGCAAGCCAAGAGTTTATCATAGGACATTTGACTTTTTTAAATTTTCACTCTTTGAATGATATGAGGTACACTGATCAAACTTGAGCACAAGTTTCAATCCAAGTATTTATTTGAATGTTGGTCGGATTAGCATGTGGCTTCGCATGCCACACTCAGGACATGCGAATGTGACAATTTTTCCTATAATTGAATAATGGTTGGCTGTAGCTAACAAGGAATCTCATGTTTCACCACAATTTGTATCAAGGTCTAAAGAAAATTCATTATTCACCTTGTTTTGTCAGGTTTACAGAAAAATGGTCACTTGCTGTTCAGCGATGAAAGCTCATATTCAGGTACTGACAAAAATGTTGTGCACTGTACTCAGATCAACATCTGCAGAAGGTTGTATGAGATCTGGTTGTTTTGTGCTCTCCTTGCCCCATTCAACTAATTACAGTAATTGCTGCTTTGATGTAAATGCAACGAAGTACGAATTATTTAGTAAACAACAAAGCAGCAATTTTGTTTCAAATTGCTTCTTTTGTTGTAAATGAAATTTTCACTTTGGCTGAAGGCTAGACAAAATGTATGGAGCATACCAAGGAGACTTATTGATTCTGAGCTATTTTAATTTAATACGCTTGATCCAAAATGCCACAAACTGTGACACCTGTTATGACCTAGGGGCCATGCTGTCAACTGTTCAGCACATCACACCCGTAAGATACAGAAGGATGCTCAAATATGTCTGACATGATATTATTTTAACTAAATGTGTTTTTAAAGTGTTAAATTTTATTGTCGCTAAAGGCAGCTTTACTTTGTCAGTGTATGGAAGTTAAAGATTACACAACAGCCTTCAAGACCCTCCAACAAGCCTCATTAGCAAGGTGATGAAATTATCTGCAAAATTCAATAAGCATACTTTCAATTTTTCAGAGATCCTCATTTCTACTGTGCATTAGGTAGGACAAATCATGTTAATGCGAGGCATTAAAGATAGTTATTGTTTTACTCAACAGTTCTGATGCTATGGACTTCTACTATTCCTTCTTTTGGGACATAACAATGTTAGAATATCTAACCTGTATCCTTTAAAAGTGATGAATGTAATGAGCATTGTACTTCTTGAAAATGTGCTGCTTTAGAGTGTAAAATCTTTTTTTTTTTTAGTTTTATTTAAATAAAGATAAGGGTATGAGAATGGAAGTGCTGGTGGAGGAAAACGAAAAGGAGGGGTACAACAACCACAACAACATGAGAACAATGATGATCACAATATTATTATTGTTGTCTCTATCAGTGAGACCTTTTTTGAATTTTTAGTGAACTAGACAAACCTCAACTGGTCTTGTACCAATTAGCTGGACTTCCAGAAATTATGTTGTTTATTAATTTTGCTGCTGCGAGGTAAATTTTTAAACCTTTTTGACTGCAAAGCTCACAATTACCATTTGCTTTTTTTGGCGGGGCTATTGACCTTAACATTTAACTTAGTCACCCATGCAAAACGTGGACAAAATGGCAAAAAACTGCTTACAGTGAGTTTTATTGGTTATAACTTATTATAATAGTAATGTTCTCTTGAGTTCCACAGTACTGAAGTCCCTGAAGAATGAATTAAAGGAGCGAGCCAAAATGTTTTTTATGTACCAGTATACATGTTCAGCAAGCTGCTGGACGTGCAGAGTATTGGTCTAACAAGCTGAGTGATCTCTGCATTTCATACACAGTGGTCTGTTCCTGAAATTTGGTTGGCTATAAAGAAACCAATAACCAGGGACAGGCTGCATGTACACTGTATGTTCCCAGCTGATACACTGCCTTGTGGTGCTGGGCAGATCTAGGGGGGTGCAGTCAATCCCCCTAAATAAAAAAAAAAATGAGACAATATTATAACACTCTGACTTGGCCTCAGAATTCCTGAAATCCCATTGCCAAGGACCTCAATTTTAAGCATTTTCCAGGGGAGGATGCCCCCAAAACCCCCTACAGATGACCACCTTTGACCGGGCCATATCACCCCCTTCTCTAAAATCCTGTATCCTTCCCAGTGGTGGATTTGGGTAGTTTCAACTTAAATGTCTGTTCCTGGCATTACTCATTCAAAGGGTGTCAATGTTTGAATTTTTTATGCAGATACAAGCCATCAGTCAACCTGAACTGAACATTTTCAACACATCAGAACTTCTCCAACACACAGAACAAAGCAGGAAAGCTAAGCTACTCAGAACTCTTGCCAAGCAGTACCTTTAGTCTAGCCACAGTCTATTTACAATACCTCAAAGCCTCTGTACTGAAATGTCATTAATGTAATAAAGACTAACTCAACACATTCTAGTAAACAGTGGTTATAAGAGTATACAAATAAGAAAGTGACAAGAAACCTTATTGATGGTTGTGCTTTTAGCGTCCATTAACCACCTAGCAAGTCAGAGGGAGCTGTCACTGGTGGCGTCTGTGACTGACAGCCAGAATAACTGAAGAAAATCAATCTTTAAACAGGTCTCATTGATGTTTTCAGCGGGAAGACAACTGGCTTTTTCAGGCAGGCAAAACGTTTTGAACTGAACTTGGTTATATGAAAAACTTTACTCTAGCGGGTCCAGCCAGTCAGACAAAATTGTATTCACAGCTGGTCGTACTGGTCTACACACCCAATGTGCCAGCCTCTAAATGAAGGACCCTGGATCAGGGTATTTGGGCTGTGTTCTTAGACAAGAACTTTCTGGCACTGCCCTTGTCAACCCTGTGGGTATAGAAAAATTGGTTGGGAAACCTGACCTGACCAAAGCGCTGGGGGATATCCTGCTATGAACTAGCATCCCACCCAAGGGGAGTATGGGGAAGGGGTAATAACCACCTGTAATGAGACACCCTTGCTTTTTTGATTCTTTGGGATTGAACACACTTGACAGATAATAATGAAAACAAACCCAGAGAACATCATTCAATATATTACATTCTTTATTTAATATTCAAGTATTTTAACTAGTGCCAGCTAGTAGTGAATTGCCAGATTAACGTAAGATGGAGATATCTTGTCACAAGCTTAATGCTTTGTTCTCACAATTTGACCCATGAATTCAAGCTGATTTGATTCAAGTGTCAAGTGCTGTGGACAAATTGAATAAATAATATACATTGTAATGTGCTTTGTTCTTTTGTATGAACTGTTTCTCTTCGATGTATGTCTCTGGAAAAGGTTCAGGTGTGTGAACATGGCAATGGATGCATTGTGCCTCATGATCTCAGGTCAATCGATCCTGATATTGATCAACATCTGATAACCTGTGGGTAGGGAGAAGAGACCTTTTCTTTGTCGCTTCCCGTGACTCTTAGCAGAGTTTATTCCACTCTCATATCCAATCTTTTCACACATGTAGGAGTTTGCATACAGGCATCATTTTTATCTATTTGCACACAAGCTAGATATCTATTTATTTGCCAAATACCAGTAGTCATTTGGTCATTCAAAACACTCAGGTTAGCAAATCACCTTAGTCAGTCCCTATATGTGCCATGTGGCACATAACCCAAAGATACGTAACTCACTGACTTAGTGTAACTGTGAAAGTGAAGTGTTAGAAAATATTAACATTTGGATGTAATAACTCTTAATGTACCTCTAAAAGTTCAAAGAATATTTTCAGTCATGATATTATACAACTTCTCTTACATTGTCCCAAATAAACTTGAGACAACTTTGATAGACCATGCAATGGTCTGCCTTAAAATTTTGTCATTAGGCCATACATATGCTCTGTAATTAATATAATTATAATTTACATTATACTGTATTCTATAATGTATTTAGATTTGTTTGGTTATTTACACAAAAGTATTTACAGTGCTATGATTTCCACTTGGATATATACCTGGAATATATATATATATATGTAGTTATGCAACACTTTTGAGTGGTATACTATAGAATGTCCCATGAGTCACTTGAATTTTCTCAGTATACACACGTGACAAGCCTTTACATTACATGGTATACCATGAGTAAACGTTGCATAACTATTTTATACCATGCCATAGAAAATACAGTGACCAATACAATTACATGTGACATACACGCAGGCATGATAGGAAGGTTGGATGTAACACCATCAAATAATATAATACAAAGGCTTTCCTGTATGGCATGGTATAAATGCTGGTATTATGTAATGCATTTATTAGATGAGATTGGGCATGATAGCAAGGATTTTCAAGCCTCAGAAAGTTGATATGCTCTACTTGTAGAAGCCTAACGGCCAAAGCAGATAACTCAAACTGAGTCCTTAACAATAAACTATCATGCATAAACTAGATTCACTGCTACAAATCTCAATGTTTAAATATGACATCACAACTTCTTACTGTATAAATTAATTATCCAGCATAGAAGAGCTAGATGCCCTCAATCAACAAGAATAAATTATAGCAATTTTATTTTAAATAATTTTATTTTAAGTTAGTGAGTAAGTGAACAGATTGCGATGGTTGAATGGGATGGTGTATCTAAAGGCTAATAACTCAAATAACCTACCATACTACCTTAGAGAATCTTCAGCTCAAACTGAAAACCCCAAAAATGAAATTCCTGCTGGAAAATTTATATTCTTGTCGCAACCAATCAGAGTTGAGCTGGAGATTAAACAATCCATATGCCAGTAATAAAACTGAAAGGTGTTCCAATTTTGTCATAAGACATGCATATTGCCCTAGTTTTCTTGTCCAAAACAGATCAAGTTGTTGTAATTGTAAAGGATGATGATATTGGCACTTCTACTTCTCCTTGTCAAATCTTGTAACTGCAAGTTCTCGAAGTGTAAAAGCCTGGTCTGTCTCTATCCCACTCATTTTTTGAACATGTTTTAAATGCCTTTCTATAGTTCTCTTGTCCATTTGCAGTTTCCATCTTAACCTTGCCACCGTGTCCAACAAGGGAATCACATGGGGGCACAAGTAATCATTTTGGGCTACATGTAATTCAAGGGCTGCTGTTGCATAACGCTCAGCATCTTCGAGTTTACCTTGAGCCTCAAGTACGTCAACAATTGCGCCTAAAGTAGCAATGATCTCTCTCCCTTTGTCACACAACTTAACTTGAAGATGCAGACTGTTTAGAAATAGTTCTAAGCTATTTTCCAGTTCACCACTTTTCAGATTATCTGTTGCTTCTCGTAATCCTGGAAGATAGAAGAATTCTTTGAAAGCTTGATGTTGACGCACTTCTGCGTATTTGTAAATTGTCTGTAGAAATGCCTGAAAGGCAATGCGTCTAGATTCAATTAATTCAGGATTCAGGTTCTTTTTTTGAAAAAGTACTTTTCCAGGGAAGTCAACATCTTTTATTAAAAAGGGATGGTCTTTCTTGATTGCTTTGTAGAGAGCTGCAAAATCTGAGTACCTTCTTTCCACCATTACTTTCTCCGTGTCAACATGGTCTGTTCTCAAAACCATTACACAGTAAATCTAAAAGTGTTTGAATGTGAAACATGAAATTAGTATTTTCAGTATTCGTATTTTCCCAACAGTGCTTTTAAATGAATTACAATATGTACATGTACTGGTCCAGAACATATCCAAGCCCTACCATGGACTATTCTTTGGCTTGAACCCCCAACCCCAATTTCATCTGGAAATGCCAATTGAGATTTTTATTCTATCAATTAATACACTTTTCATCCCTTTTTAGTCTTTCAGGTTTTAAAACCACCCCACCCCTTTATGATATCTAGTGACGATCCAAGAAGTGTGCATGCATACATGTATATTATTTTGTCAAAAATATGTAATTAAATAGCTCTTATTAATTACTTTACACCCAAAGTCAAACCAAACTGGAAAACCTTCTCCACAACAGCTGCTATTTTAAAATGATGCACATGTTTCTGGTGTTGACAAAAAAATCTCTCTTGAATCTGATGTTGACTCATTTTTCCCCATTTCAGACATGCTCTTCTAGGGGTGGTGAAAGGTACCTCGAAAACTGTACATGTAGGTCTCTATATTTACTTTGATCTGATCTCAAAATCATGGAATCTTTTGTGGTGAGTCACTTGAGACATCTCAGATACTGAAACAAAAGTCTTGGCATCTCAATATTATTAGCCTTGGATTTACCATTCATCATCCCTTCTGCTACTGTTAAGTTGATGATTATATTTTTTGCTGATAGCATATAATTTTACTACACCTCTTACCACATGCTTGCCTTCGTTGTGAATCCTGGTTGAAACAATTTGAAATGTTGTATTTTGAGGATCACTAAAGACCGATATTCCATGGCCTCTGCAAGTGCTGTCCAGAGTATCAAGATCCTCCTCCTCATTGTCTGAATCCACGTATACAACACCCTTTTCTGTAAACAAACAAAAAGAGTGTCAATAAAACCAAAATGCTACTAATACTCCTCTCTTGTTTCCACAGATACATGTACTTTACTGAAACATTGGACTGCATCACAGCCTTTATAACCCATGAAGTACAGTGGAATCTTGATTTCTTGAGCCCTCATTTTCTCAAACCTCACGATAACTCAAACCAAAAGTCATTTCCCTCTCCTCAGTTGAACACAGCAATTTAACCTCCCGATTTCTTGAACTATCCAATTTTTCAAATCAATTTTTGTTTCCCTAGGAGGTTCAATGTGATGCAGCCTAAACTAGTAAATGTCACATGTACCCCAGCTAATATTCCAGCGCAGTTTTCAAAATTTGTGTTTATGTTTGCACGTTGAATTTCAATCCTAGTTTAACAATTCAACTGAACATTACATAACTAATTTTATTATATAGACACAAGTGTTTCACTGGGAAATACACCACTCATAAAATTCATACGAAACCACATCCGGGACTTGAGTGGCGTACTTTCCACATCCTCACTAGTGAAGATATCAATGATTTCACTGGTATCAAGTTTGTCTCTTAAATTGTACTTAAATTCGTTGATGTATCATCGAAACATCTTCTATATAATAAAAAGAACATAATTTACATGTTAGCTCAAAGATATGAATTTTATGTTCTCGTGGCAAGAACAATGTCTCACTCTTTTGCTGCGCTCACTCGTGAGATATTGCTCTTGCCACTTGAACATACAATTAATATCTTCTCGCCACTGTGTAATATCCTCTATGTTTGAACACCAATAACAGAAATATACTGACAGCTTAGGGAGAGTGCCCCCTACCTCCCCCCCTCCCCCCAGAATTTTCAATAACCTTTCATGTCCATATGGGTTGCATATGGATATTTTCTGGAACCACAAAATGAGGCTAAAAAATGTAGACAACAACTTGGGGAAAGATTCTCCTAAATTTAGTACCTGCTGTAAGTCTCATACTGTTTCTACAAGTTTGCCAGACGGAATATAACCACTATTTTTCACTAATTTGGTAAAAAAAAAAAGGTTATTTTGAAAATGAAATAAATTAATTTCAGGAAATTATTGAACTAGAACTGTCATCTACCAAACATGGTCACTCAAATAAAATTTAAACATCTTTCAGTTTTCAAACATTCACAAAATCTTAATAATCCTGTAACTTACAGATCAGATATCTCCGACAGTCAACAAAAGAATAGTATAAAAATCTGTGTTGGCTATCGTGCAGATTTGCAATAACCTTATAAACTTAACTTACATTATTAAAACGAATCATTTCCTTCTCATGTCTGTCGCGATCAACTTCGAATTCTATGTGCACGTTCTGTGACAGCAAGCACGACAACAAGAACCAACACCTTCCCTACAATAATCGTCCTCCATTATATATATATGAAAAGCTATCGTGCAGATTTGAAATAAGCTTATAAACTTAACTTACATTATTAAAACGAATCATTTCCTTCTCGTGTCTGTCGCGATCAACTTCGAATTCTACGTGCACGTTCTGTGACAGCAAGCACGACAACAAGAACCAACACCTTCCCTACAATAATCGTCCTCCATTATATATGGAAACTACTAAAGATTGTTACTACTACTACTAGTTAAACTTATACATCGGCTTTTGACTCAAATTAATGTAAACTTTGGTTTAGGCATGGAGCAAGCTAGTCCTAATTGTCTGAAAAGTCCTAACGGTGGCTATTTGTAACCTTACCGGCATAGATCATTCGTCCCACAGCATTGACAAGTTGTCCATTGAAAGATATGTTGTCGAGTGGAGATTGTCCAGGATCATCAGTAGTCTCGTCAAAATACCAAGACGAACCCATCACACCGCATTTCTCTAGTGAAACTGTAATCACACCACGGCCTCCAGAATCTCTCAAGCGTTTATAAACACAACTGTTGTCGCACTCAAAGCAACATGGGAAGGTAGGTAAACCACAGGCAACCCAAGTTCAAGATGTTAATGATGACCAATTTGCCTACTGAACAGTCAAGGAAAAAATACAACACTTCGTAAGGGAATGTTTACCATAGGTTTTAGGAGATAGACGATCAAAATCAAAATGCCTTATCTTACTTCCAGAGGGCATTGTTTATCCATCGCTTTTTTTCGCTGATTTTGATGTCTGTAGGGTATTCCGCAATTCGTCTGTAGTTTGAAACTGGTAGCTGCTGGTAGCCAAGGGTTAATCACACATAGAAGCGAGTAAATCCAGAAATTTGTCTCAAGTCTGATCTTCCATCCCAGGCGTCCGGTTAGGGAGCAGCAAGAAAACGGCGAGGCAAAAAAAATTAGTCACTGGAAATCTTCAGTGTAGCTTTGTCCTCGATATTTTAAAAAAACAGAACTTAGCAGAACGTGGATAGAAGTGAACATAAAACACCCTGACGTGCTAAAAAAGCTATGTTTAATTCCCTTACAAAACAAAGAAAACAATGTTTTATGATTTTTATGGTTTCGTGTGCCTAAATACCAAAATACAAAACATTAAAAAGATGCCAAAGCATGAGTTTTTTTAGAAAACGTTTCCATGTTGCTTTGTGTCTGTTCAGTAATTCAGAATTCAAAAATGTGATAAGAACAAAAAAGTTGAACATGAGGCGATAGCCAAGTGTATCACTCATGTTCTTACCACATTTTGACATCTTCCGTGATCAATTACTGAACAGACACACGAAAACATGGAATCTTCTTGTTTAATAGATAACAAATCAAATGTGAGAATAATTTGACAAATTATTTAAACAGCTATTGAACATGAGTTATTTAAAAACACTCAAAAAATGTAGACAAAAGTCTCCTACAGTTTGTGTTTCCTATTAAAGTTTCTCTCATGTTTTCAACTATGTCCTATTTATTACCCATACTCCCTCATATGAATTCAAATATTTGATAAATAACAGTGTAAAACTATTTTACACTATGTACAGGCAATACCGTCTCATTCCCAGCAGTTGCCCCATGATAATTCTTAGTACACGCAGGGCAGACATGTCTTGCAACTGTAGCTGATGGGAAGAGAGAAGTGGTTTGAGTTTTCCCATAACATCACGACCTACACTTCCTAGTCTTCATTCACAAAATGCAACAGCACCCAAGGATGGGACAGCAGTTGAACTGCATGAAGATGTCACACATCAAACATTCTTTTTGACCACTGTGTGTCTAACACCCTAAGGTCCAGGTCAAACATTGGACTTCGCATGAGACAAACTAAACTGAGCGAATTAAGTTCACGACAACGTTTAACTCAACTTAGTTCGCCCAACTAAATTTATATCTATTATCAGGTTCTATCCGTCTAAAGCAGATGACAGAATGTATTGACTCATCTAAATTTGAATTAAGTTCGACATTTGACCCAATGGTTGAGCTTTACCCATTTGGATCAATTCAATTGCAATTTAGTTCATCTCATGTGAAGTTTGATGTTTGACCTGGGCCTAAGCTCTTTGAATCAAAGATGTAATGCCAAAAATATCAAAAATAATAATTAAAAGCAATTATTGCTTTGTATATAAAAATAGAATATGTTGAATAGTGTACACACAATGTTTTTAACGGTGTGAACTTCTGGTGAGGCAAACATACCTAACTCCTAGAGATCTAATGTATCATATTGTGTTAACCCAATCTTATGGGATGACTATAGCACCCGCTCAACAAGTACTGAGGCTGTATTTATACAAATATGACCTACCTAGCAAAAAACACAACTTATGCATTGTGCATATCCATCAAAATTCACGTTTTTTTTTTTAATATCGGTAATTAGCATGAAAACCAATTTCTAGACTTTCAGTAAATAAAATAAATAAAAATTTTGTATCAAAAATATTTAAATTAAAAACAATCTACTAAACCCTGTAATTTCTATGTTATGGACTATCAAAACGGTCAAATTATTATATATTTCTACATATTAATTACTATACTGCTATTGAAACTAACAAATTGGAGGAACCACTAAAGGAAAATGTCTGCAAATTCCCTTGCCAAATTTATAGCCTCGTCGTTTAAAATAACACTGGTTCACATAATAAACGACAGTCCAGGGGGAGGGTTGCCACGCCACTTGTCTGAACTTCAGAATGCCCCATATGCCCGCTAAATTATGCCCGCTTAATTATGAACTTCAAACCAAATTTCTTTTGTCCTATTTTTGGTGTTAAAATTACTGCCAAAACTTGCTTAACCCACATTCCCTTTTTAATACTCTCAGCTAAAGGTCACTTTGTCAATAATTCATCAGTCATCAAAGGTTATCTTTTGTTGAGATTTTATCTCATGCAAATTATGGGCTATTGCCAAGAGAGAAGTCAGTGGGAAATAAATTTAAAGCATATTTGTAAAGAAAGTGCATGGCTATGAAACTAAAAGTATTTTGCCCATATTCCCTGATTCACTTTTTTTTACATTCTTATCAACTGCCTGTTTGACAGTTTTGTCATGTCTTACTATTGTGCAGTTACATAGAACAAGTTTTACTTGTCAAATCTTGTAACAGCAAGTTCTCGCAGAGTGAAGGCACAATCAACATCTATCCCACTCGTTCTTTGAGCCTGAGCCAAACGTTTCTCTAATGCTTTCTTGTCTTTTTGCAGGTTCCGCTTTAGTTTCACTGCTGTGTCCATCAAGGGGATCAAATAAGAAGAGAAATTCCCCTCCTGGATTAATTCTAGTGCAACATTTGCATAACACTCAGCCTCCTCAAATTTGCTTTGAGCCTCATGTACAACAACAATTGCAGACAGGGTTGCAATGATCTCTCTCACTTGATCACACAACTTCACCTGTAGATGCAGACTGTTCAGTAAAAGTTTCAAGCTGCGCTTCAGTTCACCACCTTTCAGATTTTCTGTGGCCTCCCGTAATTCTGGCAGAAAGAAAAATTCTCGAAATGCTGGATGAAGACAAACTTCTTTATGGTGATAGATCTTTTGTAAAAAAGACTCAAATGCAGACCGCCTGGCTTCAATCACTTCAGGATTTAAATTACTTTTCTGACCAAAGACTTTTCCAGGGAAGGTTACCTTCTCCAGCAAGCTAGGATGGTCTTTTTTTAGTGCTTTGTGTAAAGCTGCGAAGTCAGAATACCGTCTTTCTATTATAGCTTTATCCAGATCAATACCATCTGTTCTCAGCACCATAAGAGAGTAAAACTGAAAAGGAAATTTCAGTAATTAAAAACAAAACTTTTTTGGAGCAATGATGTCCTACTGTACCTTACATGACTTAACCAGGCAACTAAACAAAATGTCTCACTTGCAAGCATGCAGTCTATACCAATGGCTTACTTATCTCCGGCAAATGTTTATCATGCCACCATATAGCCCCCAAGGCCGTCATTAAGGGCCGTAACCCATAGCACCTGTTATGGCTGAGCATGCTTGATGTGCCATTGTTGTTACAGGTATTGTCAAAAGTTGCTACAATTCACACATAACAGAACAAATTTGTTACAGGTGTGAAGATCAAGGCTACAGGTGAATCAAAACTTAATACAGTGCCCTGGCCCTGATAACAGAATCCTATGGACAAAATACTGCAAGTTGAGATGTGCAGGACCAGACAAGGTTACAAGGGGTTGTCCAAAAAGAGCTGTCCAGAACATGCACTAACTGAAACAAAATTTTCACTACTTTCCAACAAAATCAAGATCTAAAACTTGATATGGTTAAATGCAGTACTAACTACTTAATAACCGAGAGTGAGGTCGTTACGGGAAAATCTCAAACTGAGGCCTTGCCGTATTGACCGAGCGATAGCGAGGTCAAT